CATGCATTTCCATTTCTGCTGCAAATCAGCAGTGAAGTGAAACCAGCAGCTTCAGGAAACACACAGGACTGGCAGGAATCAAACAGTTGCCGCAGAAGCAAAGAGATTGCAAAGTCTGTGCCTCAAAAGTGGGAGGGGAGGAAGAGAGTTTATCGACAACCAGGACATCAGATCACCGAGGGTGTGTGTGTCTTGGACTGCAACTCCCAGAAGCCTTCTTCACCACTAGCAGTTCTGACCAGGATTTCTGGGGGATGCAGTCCCAGAACATTTTGGGGGACCCCAAAGTTGGGAACTACTGTCTAAAACAAATACCCAGAACTGATGTCTGAAGACGGGGCAGGGACTGGTGGTACAGAAACCAGAGATACCTTAAGGAACAGGCAGGTTTGCACAGGAGAAGGCGGATCCCTCTGATTTAGCTTAACCTGGACACCCTGTGTGGAAGTACCTTTCAAGAGCATTAGCCCAGCTTTTAGGAGAACCTTCCTAGAATTCCCCTTAAATCAATAGGCTTTAAACCACCACCACCCCAAAAAAACTATATGTTTGATTGTTTTATTAAGAAAAGGCCAGTTTCTCTCTAGTATGGCTTAGAAGTACCTCGCTAGACAATGATAATCCATTCCACTGAAATTGCTGTTTAGCAAAATCATCATCTAGCGAAAAGCATTTCCCCATTGGAATGCATTGAAACCTGTTTAATGCGTTCCAATGGGGAAGAATCGTCGTTGTCTAGCGAAGATCGGCCATAGGAAAGCCACTTTGCGAACCACTAATCAGCTGTTTAAATCGCTGTCTTGCGAAGCTTAGGTCCGGTTTGCACAGGAGAAGGCGGATCCCTCTGATTTAGCTTAACCTGGACACCCTGTGTGGAAGTACCTTTCAAGAGCATTAGCCCAGCTTTTAGGAGAACCTTCCTAGAATTCCCCTTAAACCAACAGGCTTTAAACCACCACCACCCAAAAAAAACTATATAAGGGTTTGATGGTTTTATTTAAAAAAGGCCAGTTTCTGTCTAGTATGGCTTCAGAAGTATGTCTGAATCCCCTCCGACTGGCTCATTTGTTGGGCCTCACAAAATCGTTGTCTAGTGAAAATCAGTTTGCAAAGCAGGGACCAAACATTGTCCAGCAAAATTCCCCCATAGGAATCACTGTTTTGCGAATCTATAGCAATCACAAAAAGTCAATGTCTAGCGAAAAAACTGTCATGCGGGGTAACTGTCTAGCGAGGCACCACTGTATGTCTGAATACCCTCCGACTGGCTCATTTGTTGGGCCTCACATAACAAATCAAACATCCTTTTAAAACAGTTTCTTCACAGGGGCTTCAGAGGAGCGACCAACGAAGATTCAATTGCACGAGAAATCAACCTGCTGGCAGATCTTCTGGAGCATCCTGAGCTGTGTTTGCAAGATACCTTCATCGTGGCCGGTTACACCAATCCAGCCGCTACAAACCGACAGAATGAAATATGGTTCCTGGAAAAACCATAAACTGAACTATCAGCTAAGCTCCATTGTCTGGGTATCCTTAAAATGTGCAAGTGAATCTTAATGGGCTGGCTGGAGGGATTAACAACATTGGCATACCCATTCGCTTTATATAGCCGATTTCCTAGAAATACACGGATACAACATCCCACCAGCATCGCTTGACAAACCAGCTCCCTTCCTCAGTAAGCCCAAACAGTTTGGTGGTGGCTTTGCAAAATCTTTCTGATGGCTGGGGCTTGGTTATGCACATTACCTTTAAAATGGCTAGGCCCTTTCACAAAAATGAGCCAAAGAAAATATGTGTGGTGTAAGGAGAGGTCACCTGTTCCTTTTACACTGTAATGTTTACATGATTTATTTTCAAGGAGAGTGTACGAAATAGCATATTGATTTGGAGACGTTTGGAGAAGTTTCCCAGATTAATTCACAGCTGGTCTACCATTAAAAATGAAATCATTTTGAGACACATGCAACTTAACAGAATACTGTTTTGTACTAGATTCTTAATGAGTTCATTTAATTACTGATCTCTTTGAAAAATATAGTTTAAATTTTAATGCGTTGTTAGCTGGCCATTATTTTGTAAGTGATGGAGGCAAATTGCAGGAAAATTGAACGGGAGGACAAATACAGTAAACCAGCTCTCAAAGGTTAAAACAAAACAGTTTGATTGAATTTTTATGAACATTTTATGGTGGTGGATGGAAAAATCTTAGGCAGCTAGAATTGTAAAGCAGGTGAAATATTTCCTAATGGAATGTTTTCTGTGAATTTCCTGACTCAGCCCCTAAATACAGTTGGCAACATACCTATCCTTTACACAGTGAACCCTCAGCATAGAGTCTGCTACATATGACTTCTGTTCTCTTCCCAATCCCTTGGTCAGACAAGAGTTTTATGAAGCAATACAGCTGTTTTGGGAAACCAGATGTGGTTAATATTTCTGTTTGCTTTGACATAATAGTCACGTGCCATCAAGTCAATTCTGACTCATGGCAACCCCCTTTTTTGGGTTTTCTAGGTAGAAAAGAGGTGAAGGTTTGCCCTTTCCTCCTTCTGGGGGTGCTCTGAGACTGTGCCGCTGGCCCAAGGCCATCCAGGCTGGCTTGACTCATAGGAGGCCGAGTGGGGGAATCAAACTACCAAGCACAGAATATTTTGGGGGTAATACAGTGGTGCCCCGCATAGCGACGATAATCCGTGCAGCAAAAATCATCGCTATACGGATTCGTCACTATGCGAAATGAAAAAGCCCATAGGAATGCATTGAAACCCCTTCAATGCATTCCTATGGGCTTAAAACTTACCTTTTAAGCGAAAATCCTCCATACGGCAGCCATTTTAGCTGCCCGGTAAGCGAGAAATCCGTCTCTGTTTTACCTGGCAGCGATTTTGGAACCGCTGATCAGCAGGGGAAAAAACATCGCTATGCGAAAATCGGTAAGCAAAACAGATTACCAATCATCGCAAAGTGATTTTCCTCCGTAGGAAACATCGTTATTCGATCGCAAAAGCGATCGCAAAAACATTGTCGCTATGCGGCTTTGTTGTTAAACGGGGCGCCCGTTATGTGAGGCACCACTTTATATAAAAAACTTATTTATGTAGCATTATTTTGATTTCCTGCCTGCCTTCTGTCAGTTGAAATTGTTTCTCAGTGAAGGTGAACGCAGGTCACTACTTGATATTTTATCTGATGCTGCCAGATCTCTGTTTGCTTCAGGCAGAGTCAGTCCCCACACACACACCTTACCAAAATAAATTAAGCTGTATTGATATCTGTTGTTATCTGTACATAGACAATATCCTAGCAACGGTGAACAGCCATGATTCCTTGTCAGTTTATAGTATATGTTTCTGGGCAGTGTTTTTTTTAATAGTTATCTTTACAAAGTTTTTCTCTGTTTTCTAACATTTCTGTACAATGTGGCTTAGACAGAAATAAAGTGCTTAAACACTTCTGTCAACAAAATGAGTGTTTTCTAGCCCATACTGCTGCTATACCGCTGAAAATGATAGCTCAGAATGGTGTTTCTTGTTTGAGAAATGGTCTGTTTTATCTGTTTGCAAGTTGGGTAACAACCACCGTTTGTTTCTAGACGGCGTGATCGGAAGTGAGGTTACACACATTTCTTTGAAGGCAACCCTGGGTTAAGCACCTGTAGCAATCTAGAGATAGTGGTTCACTCTAATGTACCCAAATCTGGCATGCACAGAACAACCCCATTAGAGAAAAACAAGAAGGAGAAAAAAGAACTGATAGGATAAGATGGATAAGAAATAACTGATTAGATTTGCTTTGTGACAGAAGACGCAGAGATTTTTAAATATTTGTGATCTAGAACGGTGGCTATCATCCTCTCCTAACAAGCAGGCATGGAACTCAACAATACATTGGACGAAGACCCCACAACCCCACCTCCACAAAGGTCTCACCAAGGGAGAAGGCGCTTCAGTTACACAGCAGACCTGAACACAAGCAGCTCACAGCCCCCCCAAATCGTGTTCACCCCCCAGTAGCTAGCAAAGGCATCAGATCCCTATATACCAGCCTCTGAAAACAGCAGCGAACGCATCTCGCTCCCAATGGTTTCCTGGAATGAACTGAAAGGACCCTTTCCTTAGCCAGTGAAATATTTAAGGAGAGTCTTTACTGGTTCCACATCCACAGCGAGCTTCCATGGCTAAGCAGGAATTTGAACTCAGGCCTCCTTACGCCATCCCTCTATACTGGGTATCCAAAACCATGATTATCACGACAAAAGACAGCTAATCTCGCCTGAAATTCTACTACATGACACTATCACTATCACTTGCTCAAGAGCTACGTAAATAAATCTTGCCTGAAATTCTTCTACATGACACTATCACTTGCTCAAGAGCTACGTAAATAGCTATTTCTATCATGCTTTAGTGGCTCTCTCAAATCATCCAGCTGAGGCATATTTGAAAAGATTGCAACTTTAAGCTACAACATAACACACACACACCCCGACTGGCTGGGAAATGTCAGGGTATATTAAACACAAATAGTAGTTTATCTGCTACAAGCCTCAGGCTATCACAGAGTAGCCAATGCCCATTCTGCAATCAACATGGGGCCAAATGAACTTTGAAAACATTGACCAACCGAAGAGAAATCCTCAGAACCGTCGTCTCTGTTCCAAGAAAGCAAGGACCATGTAAAACATCTTGAGGTGACATCACCGCTTACTTGAAGAAATAAAGTAAAACCTGCTATTAGGGATGATTTCAGTGAGCAACATCATAATAAGTCCACCAGTAGGATTGGAAAAATTCACCAGCTGCTTCTCAGCAGGGTGTCAGACAGAAATTGCATTTTTCACAAAACTCGTCACACTTGGAATGTAATAGACCAGATTTGCAGCCTGACCCTTTTCACAGCCGGAAAGAGCACCACTTCTACACAAGGATGCAACACCACCTTTGTTCATTCTGACCTTCTCTTCCCACTGCCTCCATTCCCAGGAGCCAACTCACCTGGATGTAGGCGTTCTGAATGTCACCCAGCTCTTTCCCAAGTGGAACGACACATTTTTCAACCTGCCGTTCGTACGAGTAAGGCTGAATGTCAGGGGAATCTTCGGAGCAGAGTTCTATGTGAGAAATCAACAGGTTGGTAATAACCTGCTGCACAGCCTGGAGAAAAACAGAAGGAGGTTTTACAACTTGGCTGGGTTTTTGTCTGAGGCTCTTGTTCCCTCAGCAGCAATCAGATGCACCCGAGCACACCATAGGGGAGTGTTTGGCACACACCATGTGGGGTATGCAAACCCTACAGATGCTGCATGTAAAGCCAGCCAGAGAATCCCGATCTTGCAAATTAAAGACGAGCTGCAAGAAAGGGAGAGGTGGGGCCGTAGGGTTAAAGTGGAGCAAGACAGAGAACCATAATCCGGGGACACACCACTATCTGAGTGATAAATCCATCCCTATATTCCAACTGGAGCATTATAAAAAGCTAAGCCAAAAATACATAAATTTTAATGAGATCTTGCAGATCAACTTGAGGGTGTTACTCGTTTTTTTAGATGGCAGCAGAACCAACGGCTCTCACCCTTCCAGGAAAGAAATTGGGGGACTCACCTTCGTATCGCTTCCCGGGGTGGCAGTGAGAGCCAAGATCCGGAACTCTTGAGTATATTTGCATAATTCTTTCACAACCTGAGGGGGAAAGAGAGCATGTCTCACCGGCAACATTTTCGCAGGGCATCCAAAGGAATGCTATTAAAATGCCATCTTCTACAAGGAAAGGCCTCCGAAGAGAAGAGACCCTCGAGGTGAAAGAGAGATAAAGGCAAATCTAAATTTGGAACGAGGACGTGACCTCAGCCTCTTTGGAGGAGTCAGTCCACCTGGACTGGACAGTGACTATGCGAGCCAGGCAGTATTTCTCCAGCATTGCCCTCCTACTGACAGATCATAAACATCATCTTTCTCAAGGTAGGTGACCCAGCCCAGTCCAGAAGGAAAACAAAGATACAGGACAAGGCTGCCCCATCCTTGGGAACTCTTCCCACAAGAGGCCAGGCTTTGCAGTCCTCAGAATCCACACAAGAGAGGGCATGACCTTGACTAGTATTTCATTAAAACATCTTACTTTTGTTATTTCTGCCCCCCCCTTCCCCCAGAATAGAAGCCTTATTCTTCCATGATGCTGTCAACATTTTCTCTTACATTTCCACTTAGATCATGAGAACTCAAAGGCACCTAGTTGAATAAAGCTGGGATCTAATATATCCCTGACAATGTTCTTACTCTAGCGCTTAAGAAATTCAAGGGATGCAATTAGATAAAGGATTTAAAAAATAGTATATCTTCCCATAAATGAATGGAAGACTCCAAACAAAACCAGTTATATTTTGCTTTTTTCACTTCTACTCATGTGCTCAGCATGTATGCCCCGCAGGTTGAGAGATTCTTCACTTTAACAAGTAAAAAAACAGCATCTGAAATATTTCTCCAATCTGTCACTTCAGACATAACACCGTTTTGTTTTTTTCTAGGCATCTCCTTCTGCAAATGGAAAGGCTGTGTAAATGATGAGTTGATGACCTTAAGCACAACCTTACCTGACAATAAGCATAATTTCCGAGAGCTTTGTGGGCTTCGTCAAGAACCAGACATTTGACTTCAGCTGCAGGACAAATTCCACGGGAAAGGTCATTGACCATTACTTGGGGAGTAAGAAAGAAAACCCTTTTATTGCGCCACATTTCCTTGCGATCCGCAATCTGAGTGCCTCCTGAAACAACACAAGCATGACAGAACAGTTTCACTTGTGCTTTACCAAAAAAAGAAAAAACAAACAAACCCAAAAACATTCAATTTGTTTGCTGTCACTAAACAAGACAGAAAACTCGGTCCAACACTTCTACCCCACCCACCCCAAAAGCCACCTCTTTTTACATCTGCCTATTCTACTCCAAGGAGAAAGATGCATTTGAGGTATGGGAAATAGCACTTGTGTTTTAAACCAAGTACCCATGTCAACTGTCAGCGCTGTCAAAACTCAAACAGAATCAGCTGATTACATTAATCCTTGGAGTATTTAGCAATTATTGGTACAGATAAAGGTAGAAACAAGGCAATAAATGGCCAAAGACATATTTCTCTGGGTGCAATCCGATAAGAATTTACAACACTTCTAAATAATGACTTGTTCATTAATTGCACTGTTAGAATCAATCACTTTTCTCTTAAATCTTCTGGGAGACAGGTTGTCGGTAGCAGAATGCCATTAGACTGAGACCATCCAATTCCTTTTTAAAAATAAGACTACTGTGGCAACCACTGCTCATCCCAGGAAGGAAAGTCCAAAAAAACTTTGACCCAAGTCATGGCAGTTCTTCTTGCACTCTATTGGTATTTTGCCAACCCAACTTCTATCGTTTCCAAAGGCGGGAGTTACTTTCTCATAATTAGAGCGACATTGGCCGTATGCAAGAAAGGAGCCTCTTGAAATTATCATAGGCACTCTCTAGCAGGCAGATGATCAACACATTTGTGCGACTCCCCTTCAAGACCTGGGATCAAGCAGGCCCAGCTCCCTGATAACGGACAGTGGTCACAGGAGGGAGTCTAATGAAACCTGGAAGCCTAACCACCACTTTCCTTGGCAATTCACTTTCAAAGACTCTGACAAGAGGTGCCTCCGGTCAGAGGGGAGATCACCCTAAGCAAGGTTATCTCCCTACTGCTCAAGACTCCTGCTCTTTCTGGGACTAACAGGATGGCTTCACCACCACCTCCAGTTCAAGTATTTGGCTTCCACCACCCTGGGGTTCGCCAGGAGAACATTCCTTGATTTCTATCCCACCCTTCTAGCTACCCAGGCCGCTCTGGGCAGTTCATCCCAGAGGAAGGCGAGGATGACTTTCCCACCGGTGGCTACCCTGGAATGTGTCTCTGCGCTGGGAGGAGGAGGAAGGCAACCCATCCAGAAACAGCTGTGTGATGATTTCTTGGCACCGGATCTTCCGTCCTCAAGCATAAAATCAAATCTAGAGGCCTGAAAGCCCTCTCCTCCTCGAGGCAGGGCCTTCTCGGGGGTGGCACCCCTGGACTGGTGGAGGAGGCGGCCAATTTAAAACACGTTTTTCCCCCCAGGGATGCCTTTCACACCAACCCTGGGTGGAAAGCCTTAGGGTTTGCACCACGGTTTTAAGTTTTTCTGACCAGGGTTTCGGCTCTTTACTTAGTGCCCTGTTTCTCCGCAGTGGCACCCCTAGACTTATGGAGGAGGCGGCCAATTAAAAACACATTTTTTTTCCAGGGAGGCCTTTCACACCAACCCTGGGTGGAAAGCCTTAGGGTTTGCACCACGGTTTTAAGTTTTTCTGACCAGGGTTTCGGCTCTTTACTTAGTGCCCTGTCCGTTGGCTTTAATGGCCTTTAAAGCACCCAGAGGAGCGATTCTTGTATTGATATATAGTAATCAAGGAGGGAAAAGCAGAGCTTTTTTTGGGGGGAAGGCCTTCCTCTGCATGAGATGGGTCTCCCCAAAGCCCCAATGGCTTCTGAGGGGGGTGCCTGAGGAGCGTCCGTCAGGGTCTCCCTGACCCCTTCTTCCCTTCCGTTGGCTTTAATGGCCTTTAAAGCACCCAGAGGAGCGATTCTTGTATTGATATATAGTAATCAAGGAGGGAAAAGCAGAGCTTTTTTTGGGGGGAAGGCCTTCCTCTGCATGAGATGGGTCTCCCCAAAGCCCCAATGGCTTCTGAGGGGGGTGCCTGAGGAGCGTCCGTCAGGGTCTCCCTGACCCCTTCTTCCCTCCCTCCCTCCCTCCCTCCCTCCATCTCTGGGGGTCGGGCAAGAGTTCCCCGGGGCATGGGCAGAGAGAGGGGGGAAACCCACCGGTGATCTCGGCCATGTGGGCGGCGGGGATGGCGGCCAGGCGGGCGCAGGCGCGGCGCTGCTGGGCCACCAGGGGCTTGGTCGGGGCCAGGAAGAGGGCCTTCCCTCCCGGGAACCAGCGGTAGAAGTTGAGCAGCACCAC